CGTGCGCAACAAAATAAAGGAGCCACAACGTTCACAATAACACGGCTTCTGATATTTACCATAAAGATACTCTTCCGCCATGACGATCGACTTGATATTAAAGGATTCTCGTTAGTGGATGTATAGAAGGACACCGTTGGAGTGTGCGTGCCGAACGAGAGTAGAGAAGCTAAAGACGCCGCGCGCACAACGGTCACTGCGCGAAGAACAGTGGTCGCACGTGCTAGATGAACGCGTAGCAAATGAGTTTCGCGTACTCAGCCTTGCGCGCCTAGAATACGTTCTTTCCTTTGATTGGTCGATGCACTTTCAACTATTCTGAACAGCGTTGCCATCTAATATCACAAACTACACTGAAGGCTTATGAAGGGTATTATTTACCCCGATTATTAAAGAAATAAATTAAATAAAAATGCAATTGTTTAATTTTAGATTTTTTATAATTTTTTTTGAATATTAAATTTAAGAATTGTAAAAAATAATAAAAAATTAAACGCAAAAATTATTTCTTAAAAAGCAGACATTGGAATAAAGAAATTAATTATTCTTTACTTGATATTAATATAGAAAATTTGATTAATAATAATTTATTCAAAGAACTATTGATTTTAAAATTTTTAATAGAAAATTTATAATTTTTATAATTTTTAGAATAGTAAAAAATGCAATTATTTATCATATTTATTTAAAAAAAGAAAATTATAAAAAAAATTAACTATTACAATTGTTTATATTAAAAAGTAAATAAAATAAAAAAGTAAATAAAAGAAAAATATTTTTTTATGAAATATATTAATTTTAAAAAATTATTTCAAAAAGATTAATGAATAACAATAGGGTTTAAATGAAAAATTTGGCAACGTTGTACTTAACGACTATTAGTCTATGTAAGCCCTGGTGGTAAGATATGAAACTAACATTGACATACTGACTGCATAAATATCGGACGCAACACGTGAATTATACTTAAATTGAATAATAGCACAATGAAAAAAGTTTATATAAATAAAATAATTTCTATAATATAGTTAATGAAAATTCTCTAAGAGATTTTTGACAATTTTATGAAAAATCATAATTGTATTTTGGGAGAAGTTATAGTCAACCACAGGAACTGATAAAAATGCAAGCCAATATGATTATTCTAACTTGTTTACTTTTGTTACCAACGATTTTTGGAGACATTGAAAAAAATGAAACAACATTTGTTCCAACTCGAGAATGGCAAACTGTGAAAAAAGGTAAGTAAATATTCATTTAATTTCGTTATACGTACGTTTTGGGACTACTTTTTTACGCAACTCATTGTGTGCTCTTCCTAAGACCACGTCAGTCAAATTTGACATCGCGGTTTTTTATGAGAAAATAAATAAATAAATGATTTTTAAAGAGAAACCATTTTTCTTCTAAATTCATTAATTTTATAATAATTTTTATATGAATATAATATCTTTTATTATTTAAAATATATACAATATACTAAAATTTGATAAGTCATAAATTATATACGGCAGTAACGTACATAAAATTTTATTTAAAGGTGCAAATAAATTTTGCTTTGACATTTTAATTACGTATTTATGTAAAATTCAATTTATTGTTTTATTATTATCTTTTTTTTTAAATTATTCACTAGGTACACCAATACCTGGAGGATTACATGTACGACATAATTTTCAAACTGGAGTAACAGAAGCTAAATTAATGGATTCTGAAGATGTTGAAGAAAAAGATTTAAGTGAAAATTTGAATAGTTCTAATATAAATTCTCTAACATTACATCCTGAAAAAGCAATTTTTGAAGAAAAAGATCCTACGGAAAAATCTAATTTGTTTCATCATCCAATTGAAGAATTGAAAGCTAGATTAAAAAAAATTAAACAAGATAGTGGAGAAAATATTCCAGAACTAGATGTAATTATTTTTAATTATAATCAGTATATAACTAATCAATAAGAAATAATATTTCTAAATTATTTTTAGGATGAACATACACAACAGATAAAAAAAAAGTTTAAAGATTATGAAACTTTGAAAAAAGAATTTAAAGCACTTGAAATAAATATTACAACTGATTCAGAATTGTTAAACAATTATTTTCAAAAGTTTCATGTTCATAAAAATGCAATTACCATGGGAACTTTAACAACTGCAGAAACAGAAGAAGTTTTGGATATTTTATATAATCTAGAATATCTACTTCATCAAATTGATAATGCCAAAGTTTTTGCTGATATGCAAGGGTATGTATTAATTTTTTTTTTAATATTTGGATAGTTTTTTTATAGTTTTTTAATTATAGCATGAATAAAATTATATCTCCATGTCTCAATGGAACAAACAATGAAATAAAGGCTGAAGCTTTAAGACTTTTGGGTGCAGCTGTTCAATCTAATCCTAAAGTACAATTAAAAGCTCTAGAAAATGATTTTGTTCAAAAACTTTTACATATATTATCTACAAATAATAAAATGGAAATAAAATCAAGATGTCTCTTTGCTTTGAGTGCTTTAATAAGACAGTTTCCAGCAGCACAAAAAGTGTGGATTGATCATGGAGGAGTAGAAATATTTGGAAAAATTTTAATTGATGATCAGTTGCAAGTACAAATAAAAGTTATGAGATTGATTAACGATTTAATTATAGAGAGACAGAACTTAAATGAAATTACCGATGCTAATCAACAATTAAAAATAAAAGCATATGCAACTGCAGATATTGAAAAAAAATTATTAACATATGAATATTGTAATCATTTGAGCAATTTAATGATAGAAAGTTTTAAAGGTGAACATAATGATCAATTGAGGACTGATAATTATGAATTTCTTGAAACTATTTCTGATAGCATGATTACAATTGCTCCTATTTGTATTGATCGGTTTAGAGAAAATAAAGATGAATTGCTTCCTATTATTCGGCATTTATTGAATTTCTATCAGAACTTGAATTTATTAATGGATAAACTTCAAACAACTGGAAATTCGCGTGATGAATTATGAACAAAAAAAAAAAAATGAAATTAAATGTGTGTAAAGACAGTATGATTATTTATTTTGCGTCGTGAAGTTATAATTGTACAAAGTTTTGTGTGTAATGAAATTCTTTTGGCATAGATACTTTTGAATATCAATGGATATTCTACAAAAATCGTTACTAAATATAAATTTGGTAACATAGTTTTAAGTTGAATACAAATATAATGTATTATAAGATGAATGTATGTATATAGTCAAATTTGGAATTTTTCTTGTACATATAGTACTAAGATATTTGAGTTCTTTACTTAATAAATTGAGAATGTTATATTTATTGTGTTTAGAAAAGATTATTTAATAAATTATTTTATATCATATATCTTTATATTGTATAGAAAAAAAATGATTCCAAGATCTGTGTATATTAAATTATTATATTATATAGAATAAAATACTTTATTTACAAATAATAATGATTACATATGAACGATTTCCTCTCGTGTAGTCATAGTTTATAGAAAATATACTTGCCGAATCGTTTAAACTAGTTGCCGGTTGAACTAGTTTCATACGTTCCGAATTTCTATTTACACGTGCTTAAAAAAGACACTATCAAGTGTTTTGTTGTGAAAGAATAATCCTTTAAGTACAAGGATTGCGTTTATTTTGCTCGATATATAAAATCCTTAAATAATATATAAACTTACGGAGAATAAGATGGAATCTCCTTAGATTCAATATCTGATCTAATTCGCGAATTCCTCTAAAATACTTGCCTTTAATTTCTCAAATTTTATTAAATACAGTGACGCTATATCTACATACCAATTTTACAGATTTTACATAATATTTGTTGCATATTGTTTCTGTTGTGATTTGATATACAAACTTTTATATATATATATATCTTTAAGAATATGTTTTTTGTTGCTTTTATAATAAGATGATAGAGAATGCAATATATTATTTACAATACATTGTAGGAACATAAAATATACATTTGTTAGAATGCACGTATCGTACTAACCGATACATGTATCCGAAAATACATTTATCTTTCTGTGCGTAATTTACAAAATTTTTTTGGAATTTCAAAATTTTTTTTAACAGTAAACAAGGAAGCATAAACATTATGTACATGATGATCTGTTTTACAACATGAAAGTCAATACTGGTTTTACAGTAACGCCTAAATAACAAAGTTTAAGTGCAAAGTAAGTTGATATAGAAACGGAATGACGTTTTATATAACATGTTTTCGATAGTTTACGGAGGAACATACGTATATTCACGTATAAACTATGTCAAGTTTATAACAGTAATTTTTGATATAACAATATAATTCGATAATATCAAATTACTAATAAACAATTGAAGTATATAAAAATAATTCAGATTTTTTTTTTTAAATGTTTTTTACTATTAAAAAAATAATGTTAACTATTGTAACTAATATTACTATTGTAATCAATATTCAAAGATATAAATTACTGACATGAAAACGAAATGCAATTCCTAAAGAAAAGTTTTCTAAAGAGCAATTTAAACATAACAATTAGATAAAATGTAAAAATAGTAACTGCGTTCTGAATATATAGATAATTATGAAGTGCTGTTTCAAACTAAACTCAGTACAAAAATTGAGTAATTTATACAGGAATTTGGTTAATCATTAACCGTCATTCCTCGTCTCTACCATTTTTCGGCGTAGATGCACCATGATTGAGCAATAAGTATTACATGATAAAATTTTCTATGGCAAATTTGAATTATTTGTTCGTACACGTATCAAGAGACATTAATATATAAAAAAAAAAATTATACTCGATACGTGACAATATACATCAACAAATTGCTAACTTTATTGCAAAAAGAAATAACTTATTAGTCGCAAAGAATTGTTAAAATTGCCATAATAATAATACCAAAAACTAATGCGACTAATTGTTTCAAAGATTCTTTAGGACTAGTTTCTTTAAGCAGTTCAGGTAGAATGGTCACCATGCCGATATGTAGAAAACCACCCGCAGTGAAAGGTAATATCCAATTCGTTTTTGCTCCTAAAAAAAAATTAAAAACATTGAATATGTTGAATTGTTTTTGATAATTTTAAAGAAACGTTACTTACCAACTTCGCTACCAGAAAAAAATACAGCTGACATGGCCCCAAAAATACCACCACTAGCAGTAAGAAGCTGCGCCCGCGCAGCATCCCATTTATTGAATCCACTGCGTAATAGAATCGCAAAATCGCCGATCTCGTGAGGAATCTCATGTATGAGAATAGCAAACGTAGTGAGAACACCTAAACGAAAAGATACAAGGAAAGAACCACCCACAGCCAATCCATGAGTAAAATTATCTATAATATTGGCTATCAAATTAAGATAGCCTGTTATATGTTTCGGTTTTTCCTTTTTAACAGTCTGTTTATCATCAGAAACGTTGTCTGGATTATCTTTCTTAGAGCAATCTTTTAACAGATCAGTCGAGAAACCATTAGTTTTTGCAAGTTTCTTCAAACAATCTTTTGCTTCATCTAATGGCAAACCTTTCAGAGTATTTGATAGTTTGTCACACATTAATATTGGCTTGATGCCATTAGTAACAAAGCCATTCTTGTGTACATCTTTGTAACCGTTTGGCAATTGAGAATATCCGTTCTTCTTTTCCAAGAAGGGCTGTACCTATAACAATAATACAAAATAATAACTATGCCATGTTTATAAATAATTTAATCATTTTTATAGAATCAAGGAAATTACCTCATTAATAATTTTTGAAAAGTCATTGATAAATTGTTTTGAGAAACCATTCTTTGAATTACTTTCAATCAAATTGATACAATTGTTATTCTCTATTTTTTTTTCAGTTTCATCACTAATTTTATCGGTCAAATTCGCATTGTTCGCAGAAATATCTTCGCTTTCAGCTTCTTGTTCGAAGGCAAATAGCTTTTCCACTATAACGAATATCAGAAAGCCTCCTAGTATCCATAGACCAGGAGTCGGATGAACAGCATCCGTTGCTGAAACAAAAATAATTTTGTAATCGAAAAGATATAATTTACAGATCTATGCAATTTTAAACTCAGCACGGTCATCTATAAAAATAGAGGACAACAAAAGTGACTGAGAAATTGTAGGTGGATTAGGAATGAACCAGTTTAATTTAGGAGAGGGCAGTTGGCAATTGAAATCTGCAACTGAAGTACAATAGGGTTTCAGAACATCGTTTGAACCGTTCACAAAGCAGTCGACGGAGGTGAAGGATCGCCTTGAGTCACGCTTAGCATAGATCTAATATGATGAATTATAGCCTGAAGCTTAAATGGTGTTATTACAATTTAGATATACAGTTTCCGATTGAAAAGAAATTCATATAGTTACGTATTCAATACGAGTCGTGTATAATAAAATCAAAAATACAACATAATAAATGAAAAACTTATCAAGGCAAAAATAATAAAAGCAGTTAGCCGTATCTTGCAACGACGTTTTTAACGATATAAAGAGGAAGAGAGATTAGTCACGTTTCTTCATGAATAAGAAGATATTGTGCCGATCGATTGATCCATTGACATCCTCAACTTAATCTTTAACATTCTTGCATACATGTTTTTCTCGAAACTCATTTGTCCTTCGATCCAACTGTCACACAATAAACACGAAGATCTTTTAGAATAACATCATTCAAGATGTATAACTTTTTGATATCTTTCATATAACATGTGACCTTTTGCACACTTTATAGTTCAATAAGTTATTGTATCCATTACGTAATCTTTAGTCAATAACATGTCAAGTATTCTTAAATTAGAAACTGCTTTGGAAACGTTGTTAGTTCTAACGTTGATAATTTTTGCATTATTTTGAATTTCTTAACGATTTCGTTCATCATGATTTTTATATGACTAAGAAACATATTTGACGAGATATTCGGAAAATGTTTAGGTTGAAAGTGACGAGGAATACACATAAGTTCAATACAATTTTGAAATCTTAAAATAATAATAACGTGATAGTGATTTAACAATTATCGTGTGTAACAATGATAAATTTTTATGTTGTCTGAAGTCTGAAAAGAAATTTGAAGTTTGTTCATGTAGATATCGCAGTTAACTCGTCCGTTATCATATGTGATTCATATTCCAATGAATCGCGTAACGCCTCCGTTGCCATTCTATGGCACGATATTGCAAACAAGGACGAGCTACCAGTTGATAATAATTTATTGCCGACTCTTTGCCTCTCTGATTCTTTTCATCTGCGTTATTTAAATACACAATCTTGTTTTCAACGATTCTCAGATTCTCGTTTAGTATTTTCATTACCTTTGTTCAAAGAGCCGGTCTTCCATGCTTCTGGTAACAAATGCAAAAAGATATCGCCAAGAAGACCACCAACTGCAAAGCTCAGTAATATTTTCAGCGTACCAGAGCTATCTGTAACAGAAATAACATCAAATTCTTTAAAAAAAGAAATGATCAATAAGAGTCGTAAACTATAATAAATTGAATTAGCGAAATTTAATAATAGAATAAAGCAATGGATTATTAATATATATTATAATTAATTTTGCTGTAAAATTTATGAAATTGTAGATAGAATTAAACATGAACAAACTGATTGTATGTCATTGTACTAAAAAGTGTAGGAAGTTGAATTTAACAGATTAAAGATGTTCTAGAAAATTGTTCTGGACCTCGTCCTACGCACGCACACGCATTCATGCGTGCAAGTATGAAAAACGTGGGTGATTTTTCCTGCAGAGAACTGATAAATTACAGAGTTAAACACATGGAGCATTGATTCTTTTTGAAATATAACCTAACTTTTATTTCCTTTCCTTTAAAAGATATTGAATTCCTTAAAGGAAAAGCGAATTTAATAAGAAAAAAAGAAAGCATGCGATTATAAGATAAATATTGTTAATCTTTTCGCGTGGAAAAATAAAGCTATCTGAATTTCCGATCAAAGAAAACTCAATTACGATTGAAATTTATCTAAACATTATCTAACGTAGGTATATATCATTCGTTTAATTAAACGATATCTCGTTTTACTAACCAGATTGCCAATTATTTGTATATATACTTCCATATTTGTGTTAGTAGAAAGCGCGTCGAAATTGAATCGGATTGTACTTGAGCCCCTTTCTGTCTGTAATTCGCGATCCATCTTATTACGTTGATGATTATGTAAAACTTGCTATCTTTGTTCCTAAAAAGGATGAATCGAATTTTATTACACTATCGTTATGTGTGCAGTATCTCAACAATTAATCGTAATTTCGAATAGATATCCGAGAATTCTTGTATGTAATACGGATTACTTATCGATCTTAAATCTTGCTATCGTCAAGTAATATAATTTTTATTAAAAATTGAACGAAAAAATAGATAAGATAATTACTATTGTCTCGATCTTAAAGAAAAGATCTCTAAAGAAAGATAATTAAATTTTCTTCTCTATTTTTATTAAATAGTAGAAATTTTCTAAATATTCATATTTCAATGATTTTAAAACGTTTGCACTTATATTTGTTGAATGAGATACAAGAGAAAGTAATGAGAAAAGAATTTCTGAAGGAGGATAATAATATAACAGACAAGTCTGTATTCATAACGGTCAATGTACTCTTAATTAATTTTTCTACACCACGATGAACAATCTACATTATTATGATGTTAATTATTCTATACGATAAATACGTCTGCTTGTTTCAACTCATTTAAGCTTTGAAATTTACTGAATGATTCTTTATGGAATTTTTTTTTATTATTGCTAATTATATATTTATTAAAAAATCCAATTATTATTAATCATTAAATATATGTAATATAATATCTACATCAATGTCTATATTATTCAAGTTGAAAAGTTAAATTGAAAATTGTGTTAAGATGTTAAGAACATTATATACATTAACACTAAATCAAACGATTAAAAGTTAATTGGAGTAGAACAATATCAATTTTTTTCTTTATCTAAGTTAAATGTATAAATAACATTTCAAGAGTTCAGACATTCTCTTTAACGATATACAAACTCTGCTTTTGAATAATAATATATGTATATTTCTCTTATTAATATTATGAACTTTGCGCTGATTTCATAATCGATATAACAGTCAATAAATTTTATTATGTCTCTTGATTTTAAAATATTTACATATTGCACACGTCTTATAAGTAATGCTTTGAAATTAAAAATTAAAATTACATTAACATTTCGTTGAAATTAAATATTTGTTGATCATTATTTTTCTG